CTACATTATTCTCAAATTTTGTTGAAAATGGCTTTTAAAATATGATGAAACAAAACAAGGGCTCCAACACTGACCCCCCCCCCCCCCCTGTGCATGTCTCCGTGGTGCAGCTTCTCGTTAATCTAAATAAAGTGTTCTCATATTTTTTGGTAGATTTGTCGAAAAAAAAAATCACTGAAACATATTTTGGATTACGGTTCTTATTGACGTATGTAGCCCATCGAAGGTTTGTGAATCAATAGTATTATTATTACTATTGTTATTATTCATTCATATCCATTTTTTTAGAGATGAGAGATATTTTATCGCATCTCAATGCTTTTGGGGGAAGGTCAAATTCATTTTTTTCTTGCATAAGGTAACATTTTTTGATAAAGGTGAGCCAGGATATTGAAAATTATTTTGTCATAATTTTAGACCCAAAAGTGGCTACAAGGAACCTCAGGTAAACTATCTGTTTGTTCATAAAGTTCAGGTTAATAAATGTTCAAATATTTAACCAAGTTTTTTTCTATTTTGATTTTGTTGTAATGCGTCACTCCATTTCTGTGTCTGTTATCATCATACCAGTTAGAAACACAGTAGCAATTTCGAGATGGTATTGTTTTTGCATCATTTCATTGTGGTCATTATCTAGAGGCAATAAGTTTTGACTTTTTAACCAGAAGGGTTTTCACCAGCACTTTCAAACTCAGACATTTGTGTGTATTATATGTGTGTGTGAGTGTGTTTGTTTGTGTGTGTGTGTGTGCGTGCGCGTGTGTGAATGTGTGTGTGTGTGTGTGTGTGTGTGTGTGTGTGTGTGTGTGTGTGTGTGTGTGTGTGTGTGTATTACACGATAGAATTAAAGCATAAACAAAACATCTGTTTACGACCTTACAAGCCTGAAGAGGCCACTAAACCTTTCGGATGTTTTAATTTGATAAATTATAATAAATATAATATTTTAACCTAATTAACGCGCAACTCTACCGCTATAATGGCGAGTTCATTTGTTCCACTTGTTTTTGTTGTTTCTCACAGCTCCTCGTATCACACACATACACACGCTCTTGCATTTAGCACTTGAAGTCACGTGGTTACCCTAACAAAATCAATGGGACTCGAGGCATATTCGAATCACCGTGAATCCCCGATAGATAGTGCTATTGTTATATATGTTGGGGATTAAATGAACGTTCATTAGAACTTCTCATGTATTATCCATGCAATTAGATCATGCTGTAGAGGATGTAGGATCTATCAATACAATATAATGGTTATTAATCCATCCAAGATAGTGCAAATATTAAGTTCACTGAAATGTAATATTCCTCCAGCATTCATCAGGAAAAAAAAACAATGGTTATAGCCGTCACGTGACATGGCAGTCAACAGCCTTCCAGTGAACAGTACTTTCACTCATATATTTGCGCGCGTGTGTGTGTTGTGTGTGTGTTGTGTGTGTGAGTGTGTGTGTGTGTGTGTGTGTGTGTGTGTGTGTGTGTGTGTGTGTGTGTGTGTGTTAGAGAGAGACAGAGACTGACAGAGAGAGAGAGACAGAGACAGAGAGAGAGAGAGAGAGAGAGAGGATGATGAAGAGCATACTCATTGCACTAATTGTAACAATCACAGTACTTGATTAATTCCAATCATCTTGTGCGCAAATGCAGTAAGATAGCATTTCCAAGAAGATTGTTTTGTTTGATATCAACTCTTATTTGAAGATGTTGATATTTTTTTATTTAGTATCCAATATATATATATTTCTTTTTCTTGGTCCTCGGAAGATAATTGTGACTGTAATGGATAACTCATTCAAGATATATATATTTAATAACTTATTGTCATTATTTGTATCTAATTCATATGTAGGTATTTTTCCTGATCTTTTGTCAAACCCTTATGAATAAATGAAAAATATATAAGTAAGTGTGTTTAGAACCATCCTTAAGTGTTGAACTGCAATATATCACCAGATAAAATAGATATCCAGTGAAAATTAAGAGAGAACATATACATTGTGCGGATGTATTGCAATTATATACATGTAAACACATTCATACATCTGTATTTTTAAAAGCAGAATTTAACAGTGTCGTTTTAATGAACAAGAAGGGTCGTTAGTTGCGTAATATTAACAATTACATTTCAAAAGAGCGATGGTATGGTACTTTTTAAAATCAAGCATACCATCCAATTTGTCTTTAGAACACCTCTACACTATAAATACAATACAGTGTACTTCAGAGTATATTTTAGGTATATTTATATTCTGCCCTTGAAACTTTTTTTCTTCTACTTTTCTACTCTATAGTTAAAGACAATCATGAATACTAAATCGCCTAGAGAAAGATATAGCAAGCAACACGTATGGTTAGACGGTACGTCTATGAATGGACAGCTCGCGAAGCAGCAGTTCGTGTCCAGGGATGCACAACTCCGTCAACAGCACAGAGTTTGTCCATATCTTCCAATATCCGAAAACACGGGATCTGAGTGTATTTAAGAGCATTTAGCTGTGTCCCTTATGAAGCAAATATGCCTTTACAAATATAAATAAATGTATAGGGACACATAAATATCCCGTGTTCACTTGATATGCACCGTACACTGAGTAGCGATATCGATACTTTACACATGTAAACAAAGGTATTAGTTATCAGCTAATCATATTTATGATAAAGATAGAGTGTTCCAGAGACTGGGATAAGCTGAAGGATTTAACCTTTCTAGATATTGGAGGCACTACAGGGAGAGGGTTGGAGTAGCAGCCTTTATATATCTAACCAAAATGGCTGCCTATTTAGAACCTCAAGAGTATCTTTATCCAAATTATAAGATATATTTAATTTTACCTTTATATCTTTGTTAGCCATTTATGTATGCAATAAAGATATTGTTTACGTCGCCTCCAAGCCTTTTTTTTATATATTCACTTAGATTTTACCTTTCTTTACACGTTTCTCTAATGTCCATCATGCAAGGAGAGTTTGTTTGCAACAATCATCTAAGGGGTGCACTGCGTGATGCCTTTGGCCGTGGCGAGGCGCAAAGACATAAATAACCAATCTAAAGTGAATGCAGGGACTGTGGACATGTGCCCCTTCTAACAGCCATATTCTAAAAATAGTTGAGGATCCCTTTCCTGTTAGTAACATGAGATTCTAGAATCCTTCTCCATTTTCCTCAACCTTAGGAAAATTGTTGGAATATTAACAGTTTTTAGCTAATGCAGAGAGCCTTTTATGAACCTTTTTTTATGTTTTCCCTTTAAAATTTCCTGAAATCTGTCTAACTCTAAGAATATGGTAATTCTAATATATAGTACAGACATTCTGTATTCGTAGTGTCTGGAATCGTTAATTTAATGACATTTAAGACAATGTATTTACATTATATAAAGTTTTAATCAAATAAAAATCATATTTGAAGCAGTTTTTTTCATCTTCCATTCTCCATTGGTAAACAACAGACAGGTGCATATCAGTTCCGATCCGGTTTGTGTATCGTAAAAACATGTGCGACTGCTGTATTACTTACAGTATGGGACATAGATTGACGATACTCCTAAAAATAATGAAATAAGGAACCAATCAGTGCTTTACCCTGCAAGAATAGGCCTTATACGTAGACATATCGGTGGATAAATCGTCAGGAAATAACAAAGTTTACATCTATATCTTATATAGGCAGAAATGAAATGCAATTTGTAACCCCTCACCCCACCCAGCATCTCTATTTTTCACGGGTCCCCCAAGCCTGTGGGATAAAGTTGCTGACTGGAAAACCGAAGGTTTGCACAGAAAGTGCAGATTTGTTCAAACTTTATGAAGTTCTAAATTTTGTCTCTTGCTATGATAGTTCCGATGGTAGCGGAGGGCATGGAGTATATCCGGGAATTTGCAGGGTCCAACGGACTGAAATAAAAACAATATAGAATAAAAAATCGTAAAAAAATACCAACAACATCGCTTAAATTCAATTGATAAAACTCTATACATACCTGCCACCTTGAAAATCTACGGGCTACATCTACGGGCCGACCCTGATGTCGCTGACGAGGGATTCCAACTCGTTCAGGTGAGGAGGAAAAAAAGTAAAGATCACATCGCGTGACACCAGCAACATAACTGAGCAAGCAACCGGAGAAAAGACCAAACAACGCGAAGAAGCATCAGGTAAGAGCTTGCTGAAATTTAAAAAAAAATGTTAATAGAAATAAAAAGTGATCATATTGACAGGGAAAATATGCTTTCTAATGATGTTAGTGAGGTATCTGATATTATCATTACGCACGATACCATCGAAGAATCACCTGAAAACGGTAACGACAGTGACAGTAAAAATAACGCCGACGAAGATGTGCAGGAAACGGAAAAAAACTATGGGACATCACTCAGGATCATACGTATAATGTCAGTCTGAAGGAAGCACGCAGAATCTGTACAAATAAACAAGATGCAACACAAATATGCTATACAAGAAATATGCAGACTAAAGGGCTTCACCAAACAAATTTGACCAATCAGCTAATCATAGGGTGTGACAGGGGACAAGAAAACAATTACGTTTCTCTCAAGAAATATACGTGGTGTCAACCGTAGAAATAATGACTTGCTTTCCTTTATTCATAACAAAAATATTGACGTTATCTGTTTACAAGAGCCCTTCGCATTGTCCACTAAAATAAAAATCGCCCCAAGGATTAGAGGGAACCACTCCAATACGAACACAGTAATGACAGGCCTACTAACTTATGTCAGTGACACCATGTCGCATAAGCTGGTGCATAAGTCTGATGACAATAATGTACAATATCAGCATTTACATATTCAAACAGCCTTTGGGTTTTTCCCTTCGTACAATCTATACGCAAGGTGTAGAAAGTTTCAAACTGATTCACTGCCCAACTTTCAGAATCACGGCGCAATATGCATTGGAGATTTTAATGCTAGGCATTATACTTCTGAAGATAGTCAATGCAGTGAAAATGGCGAATAGTTTAGAAAATTTGTGAACTATAGGTCTCTGACTGTATGATACAGACAGGGAAACTCGTGGCAGGGGCAGGATAGATTATGCAGTAGAAAGGGATCTTGTGCATGGAAATGTCAGAAGCATACTTGCAACAGAGCTAATCAGTGACCATTTTGCAAATGTAACGAGATACGCTGTTGATCATAGTCACTCTGCAAATAGGCTTTAAATTTCTTTTTTTCCTTACCTTCAGTTTATTACTAACTTACCTGCGGGCACTCAACCAGTCTTTCGGTAAAATTTATAGGCATACCACCCGTGACCGATATCCTAACTATATACCCCACCAATCCCCGTGGTATTTAAACAAGCTCTTGACATATTATTCATAGCCTAAGTGATCGCTATACAGTTCGTTCTAGCCCCTTTGACACCTAGGATATATACTTTTGTTACATTTATTTGTAAAGTTTTAGATACTGATCCGGAAGGTTTGCGCTAAATTTATAATAAGTAACAAGACTTTTATTATCAATTCCGCCAGTATTGCCAAGGAAAAGGAAAGGGGAAAGGTAACTTCAGATTACGTAGCATTTCAGAATTCTTCAAGAAGGGAGGCACTCACACCTAGATATTTAATGATTAGGACATTAAAACGAAAGTATCACTTCAAATGAAATCGATAGGTCGATGACCTCCATCAATGACACTTAGATCACATTTTAAAATAAGGTAGTAACAATAGTCAAGTAACTGACGTGGTCTCCGCGGCTTTGACACACCAGTGTTTATCACCCCACACCACTTACGTCATGTACTTTATGTTAAGATAGTAAACGAGAGAATTACCAGACCTCTATAATTTGCAGAGAAGAAATTCTAGACATTATCTGGTATCTGAGCCATTTCAGGAGGACTCGACTGATTCAGGTATTTTGGCGGGGGAGATTGGCTGGTTGAAACTAAGCATCAGGTTTGGTTGCTACATTTATAGTAAAAGAATTATTAATATTAACTGCGTTACAGAAGCGTCATAAGTGAAATGTCTTAGACTTTGCTGATTTATTGATTTCATGTACGATCTACTTTGTAGGCCTTCTGATGACGGCCAAATATTGTCTGAAAAATTGCCAGTTTCCCCTGCCTGCTAAGTCCACGTGTTCGATGCCTGTTCGGCTCCAGACTGAAAAATGTAAACAGTGAAGTCGAGCCCCTGTCTCTTTTCAACAAAGGAGATTTTACATTCATCAGAAGACTGAACACGTCACAGCGCTTGAAGAGGATGTGTGAAGGACTGGTGACTTTTCGTCATTTACTCATTGGTAGGCATGACTTTATAATTGATGAGTGTGTAACGGTTTCACAACGTAGAGAGGTAGAACCAAAGGTTAGGGGGTGTCTAAACATATTTTGGGGGGATTCTTCATGTTCCAGTGTTTCCGTTCGTTGTCTGTCTTATTGCAGATTGTTCATTTGTGTCTAATGTGTAATATGTGTCTAAAATTCTTTTGATTGAAAATAAGTAGAAGTCAGCAGACGTATATATATATGCGTGTGTTTATTTGTTTATTTATTTAACACAGATAACAATAACTGTACTTCATAGACTTTTTCTGAAGTGTAGCTAAATACCAATCAGTAGTTTCTGTATACATTCTCTTTAACAGTAAAATAAACTTGTTTTGGTTAAATATGGAATACCTGATGATACACTTGTGACTAGTGAAGCAGTTACACAAAGGGTAAAAAATATATAGAACCATAACTATTTCATCATTTTGACCCTTCCATAAGACATGGGACTATATCTTATATTTAAGCAACCATTATCATTAGGAATATTTACCTTTTATGTGGTTCTTTATTTCATTATTAACATTTATAACAAGTGGCACCGAATTCTTTAATGATTATCGTGACATATGCGATAAAACATCTATGATTTTATCCAAAAAAGCCTGCGCTGTGTTATGGTTTAGCCGACCAGTGGCGTACATGAGCGTGTACGTAACCTCGTGTGCAGAAATGCTGCTCAACATGTGCTTCATGGAGTAATCACAGTGACTGATATTACACAAGTTCCTGTAATCGGCCAAACGAATAATCTTTCCAGTCACATATTTCTGCGGCACGACGACATTGGTCATGATGTAATCGCAAACCGCGGGAGGTGCGGAGCTGTAGAAAGCCTCGTGACTGTAATCCTTCGGCAGAAGTTTGGACTTGATGACCTTCTCCTGGATGACATCTCCTTCTTTGAGCTTCTGCCGGAACTCGGTGTCAAGCTGCTTGGCGTATTCCCAGAAGGTCTCCCTGTTGTGGCGAGGCGTGGTCACGGCGTGTGATATGACGCCCACGTGGTTGCCGAGGACTGCGAAAGAATCGCCCTTCCTGTACCGCCTGAGATTGACGGCGTGGCGATTGGTGACGCTGAAGGAGTCGCCCTCCAGCCCTGCCTCCGCCACCAGCTCGGCTAAGGCTGTGTTGACTACTGACGTTAATCCCGAGTTGAGGGTGATCTCGAGAGACCGACACCTCTCG